GTTTAAGTAGTTCTTTTCCTGCCACAGGATTGCTCCTCCCTGACACCCTCCCTGACACCCTCCCTGACGCAGATCACAGGTGATATGCCTGGAAATCGTTTCCTTTTTGATTCTGAGAGTTGCGTGGTTAAAAACGAAACTACTTGTTTATGAAGAAAGAAAAGCATGTGAGGGCATGGAAGAAAGAGGAGGGAGAAAGCAGCGTGTTTTAATTACTCTAACTTTGTAGAGAGGGCATTGCATGTATCTCTGATACCCAGTAAAAGTCTGTATCTTGTCAATATTTTCCCTCCAGAAAGACAAGGTTATTCTACCTTTTTCAGAGCTAAATTCAGTACATTCATGGGACTGCAGAACACGTTTTTCTCTGTGCATGTTACTCTGACCACATGCTCTGTGTAAGAAGGGACAGAATTTCAGAAAGAATTAGCTGGCATGCCTAATTTTTTGCAAAAACATCATTGTCATTATCACTTACTGAGCTCTTCCTCTTTGCTTTACATATGCAATTTCCCTTTACTCAGGTTTGTAAGATATGTATTATTAGACCCATTTTACAGATAAGAAAATTGTTACCGATTAAGTAACTTGCCTGTGGCTGCACAGCTGTGTTTTTCTGTGTTTGTTAAAGCTGGGAGGATGCTAACTGGTCAAATTACTTACATTCTTTGAATTTGTTTTTTGAAGAAAGGATTAAAGTAGCAGTCACACCTACAGGTATACGGCATCCCTCCCCCAGCTACCTCTCATGTCCCATCTTTCCATGACTATTAACTGCCACTAACATTTCCCTTCCTTCTGACCTTAGAAGGGTCAAGCTACCAACAAATATTCTATTAAGTTGTGTCATTTACATAGATCTTATCTTGAGCTTTTCATATCACAGGTTTACTGTATCTGATATGTCCCAATTCCTGTTGTTTCTTAATCCTAAGGCCCTTTTTCTAGAATCAGCACCCATTTAATTCCTCTCTCATGGCTATGGTAGGAATTCCTCTATCTTCACTTTCTTCATTTGTAAGCGGAGATCATAATAACAAATTCCCCATTAACATCTGTAAGATGGGGCTGGGTTCAGCCCAGACTTGATAGGATTGTTCTGGTCAAGGAGACGAGCCCCTGAGCGTGGAGGGCTTATCACAGGGCCTGGGACTATCCCATTGAGGGGCTGGATCCTACCTACATTTGTGTCCTATGGATAGCCTCTCGCCACATGGGGCTGTTGGGCACACAAGGTATGTCTAGCCTGAATTGAGATGTGCTGTACATGTAAAATATACCTTAGATTTTGAAAGACTTAGTAGGAAGAAAAAGAGGAGAAAATATCTCAACTTTTCATATTTAGTACATGGTAAAATGAGATATTGGTTCTATTGGGTTAAATAAAATCCATTATTAAAATTAATTTCACCTGTTTCTAAAATTTTTTAATGTGCCCACTAGAAAATTTAAAGTCAAATTCAGTCAAGTGTGGCTTTAAGACAGGGACACATTCTGAGTCGATGATGTCATCACTGTGTGGACATCGCAGAGTGCACTGACATGAACCTAGATGGTATCGCTTACATGGCACAGCTTAGCGCTCCTGGAACACCATTCTGGACGGTGTCACTGTACTAAATACTGCAGGCAGCTATAACACGTGGTATTTGTATATCTAAACATAAAGAGGTACAGTAAAAATATGGTATAAAAGAAAAAATGCTACACCTGTGTAGGGTACTTCCCATGAATAGAGCTAGCTGGACTGGAAGTTTCTCTGGGTGAGTGGGGAGTGGATGTGAAGGCCTAGGGCATAACTGCACTTCTGTGGATTTTTGCACACTCTACACTTAGGCTAAACTCCTTTTATTAAAAAAAATTCTATAATAAATTAACCTTGGCTGGGCAGCGCCTGCAGCTCAGTGAGTAGGGCACTGGCTCCATATACCGAGGGTGGCAGGTTCAAACCTGGCTTCAGCTACAACTGCAACAACAACAACAACAACAAAATAGCTAGGCATTGTGGTGGGCTCCTGTAGTCCTAGCTACTGGGGAGGCCAAGGCAAGAGAATCACCTAAGCCCAAGAGCTGGAGGTTGCTGTGAGCAGTGATGACATAGCACTCTACTGAGGGTGACAAAGTGAGACTCTGTCTCTAAAAAAAAAAATTAAATAAATAAATTAACCTTGGCTTATTGTAACTTTTCTACTTTATAAATATTTGAATTTTTAAAAAACATCTTGGCTCTTATAATAATACTTAGCTTAAAGCAACCAGTGTAATGCACTACTATGCAAAAATATTTTCTTTATATCCTTATTCTATAAACATTTTAATATTTAAAATTTTTTTTTTTTTTTGCAGTTTTTGGCCAGGGCTGGGTTTGAACCTGCCACCTCCGGTATATGGGGCTAGTGCCCTACTCCTCTGAGCTACAGGCGCCCCCCACCCCGCCCCACTTTTAAAACTTTTTTGTTAAAAGCTAAGACACACATTAGCTAGTCCTTCCCAGGGTGAGGATCATAACTACCACTGTCTTACAATTCCACATCTTGTCCCCCGGGTACGTCTTCAGGGGCAGTAATACGCATGGAGCTGTCACCTCTTGTGATATTGCCTTCTGGAACACTCCTGAAGGACCTGCCTGACACTGTTTTACAGTAACTTTTTAAAAAAATAAGTAGAAGGAGTACGTTGTAAATTAATGATTATAGTATAGTAAATACACAAACCAATAACACAGCTGTTTATTATCATTGTCAAGTATTATGATCCGTCTGTAATCGTATGTGATAGGCCTTTGTATGACGGTAGCACATCTGGTTTTTTACACCAGCGTCACCACAAACTTGAGTCATGTGTTGTGCCAGTTTGACTACAGTGTCACTAAGGATCAGGAATTTTTCAACTCCATGCAAATTTTGTGGCGCTGTAACGTGTGTGTGGTCCATCCTTGACTGAAAGGTGGTGATGCAGCCCAGGACTGTATATGGTTCGTACGTCTTTCTTGTGAATGTGCAGTGCTCCTGGTTTTCATTTGTTACCTACCAGTGACCATGAGCTTTGGACTCCCCAGGGTCAGAAGAGCACTTGGTATGGCCCTCAGGAAGCTTCAGGGCGAAGCTCCTCCCCTAGGATTGGCTCTCTGTTGGCAGAAGCCTTGGGCCTCTGTCTCAGCCTTTCTCCAGCCCTGGCTTAGCTTCAGCAGAGGTAGAAACTTGAGCCAGAAGAAATGTATGTCACTGCCCAGCTCACCCCGACACGTGGGAGGGTGTGTGCGTGATCACTGACCTGTTCTCCTTTAAACTGTGAGGAAGGAATTAAGAAGGGGAAAATCCTGGAGAACCCTAAATAATTCTCTTTGTATAGGATTTACCAGGAATTTATGCTCTTGCCATAGACACTTTGGCATGGTAGGGGTGTGGATCAGCAATGGAAGACTCTATTTTCTGTGCTCTCAGCAGAAGGTTCCCCGTCCTTAGTAATTTCCTTACCAACGGCCAGCTGAGGTAGCGTGCATCCCAGACGCTCCGCAATCGGGGAAAGGTCTTTTAGCTTGTTTTGCTGTTTTCTCCCTTCTTCGCTTACAATTCTTTCCTTCAACCACTGGTAGCACTAGGGGTAGGAATAACATTTAAATGTTAGTGTCTGGCAAAGGCTTGATGTCAAGGATTGTTAATTCAGTAAAGTCTAAGAACCTCATGATGAAGTCCAGAATCTCCTTGACTTTGACCTATGTGTCACAGTGACAAGTGCCTGTGTCCTTGTGCAAAGAGATGTTCCCCACAGGCTCACTCCTTGTTTATTGATCCAAAACACATTGATTTTGCCTAATATTTACCATTCAAATTGGTCAACATACATAAAAAGTTCTTAAATCCTGGATGATAGCATGTAAGCAGTAATACTGTGATCTTCCAAGCAGAGGAAATGATGTTTCTTTTTTTATTGAGACAGAGCCTCAAGCTGTCCCCCTGGGTGGAGTGCTGTGGCATCAAATCTCACAGCAACCTCCAACTCCTGGGCTCAAGCGAGTCTCCTGCCTCCGCTTCCCAAGTAGCTGGGACCACAGGCACCCACCACAATGCCTGGCTATTTTT